ACGTCCGAACGGGGACTAAAAAAAATGCACTGGTCAGACCACAGGGTTTTGCAGCATCCAACAGACCTTGGTGACATAAGAACATACCTGGTTTATATGCTGCAAGTTGCTTGCCCGCAGCTTCATTCTCAAGATTCTTGGCAATTTTATCAGCATGTACCCCGGCATTGTATGCTAATTTAGTCTCTGCTACATTGGCACAATCACCAAATGCATAAATGTTCTTTGTTCCCTCAACCTGGAAATATTCATTCACTTTCAAGCAGCCATCTTTATCCATCTTGTCCGCTGAAAGTCGCATGAAAGTTATGTATTTTCGTGAGGTAAGAGTAAGTACTTCGAAATGCTCACAGGCAACAGTGATTATAAGTCAGGGGTTTCACAAATGCATTAAATAGCAGGCCATCATCCTGTAACAACAGGCCAACAAAAATTAAAAAGGCTTTCGGAAGTGTGCTACAGCGTGACCGGCATAGGCGGTCGGGAGGCAGAAAGTAGACTACCAATTTGGGCTTGTAGCAGGCCACATGACCGGCTCTTAACGAAACCCCTTTAAGTAGAAATTAACTACAAAAACTTGGATGATTGTAATAACTATCTATAGGAACAGTGATACTATACACTATTACTATAAAGCAGCTGGAGTAAATAACTTTCTAGCACCATAACAGTTTTATCTAGTTGAGCGTAAATAATCCTGCCGTAGTTGGAATATCGTGTGTATCAGTTATGAATAAATTAAGACTTGATTGGAAAACTTACCTAAACCGTTTTCATAAGCAGATGTATTTGTCCTGAGCCCAGTACAAGGCACAACCAAATCGGCACCAATCTCTTTACCAGTGTCTGTTTTCACTGTATTCAAAGTGGACATAGTCTGACATGCCGGTAACTCACTCAGATTACTCACTCTTTCTCCTGAATATGATAAAAGCAGTATGATTTACTTGATTTAGTTGTCTTTAATTCTTGACATCTTGTGAGGTTTTTACTTTGATTCGGGCATTGAATCATGGGAAATACGGTAGCCATTTTATATGAACAAAAAAGTGCAAACAATAAATTCTGAAAACGTAGTAATGTGTGCCTCATTTCATAGTCTAAAAAAGCAAACACCAATGTGTCAACCGAAGATAAAAACAGCCAGATCACCACTAAATTTTAACATGTTACGGTATTTCCTACGTTTGCCACAAGATGTAATCGAGACCGACAGAGCCACAAGAATTGTTTTTTGCTAAGCAAATAGTGTACCATGCTCTCACATTGAGTCGTGTCTACTCAACCTCTGATTTATGTAACCATGGTGATTTGAAAGGTGAACAAGATGACAAGTCTAGTAGATTGCTTGCTCTCAAGTATATCTTGGCAGTCGTTTGCCTCTCGGTTATCTATAATTATCCTCTGAGAGACCACTGTTCATATGAGGTATGGTGAAAACAAAGAGATATGTGTAGATTTATAGAATAAACATACGACTCAAACAAATAGTTAACAAGGCCAAGATTGGTATAAATATATTTACCAAGGAGCACATTCACACCAAGGTCCTTCAGTTGACTTTTGATTTGATCTTGAAATTGGTCATTGGTTTTTGGATCGGCTAGCCTTTGATGGGGGTGGACCAAGGTCACTTTCTTGTCCTTGTAATCAGTGGCGATTTCACCGGCTAACTCCACACCTACTGCACCACCCCCTACCACCACGATGTCCTTGGCATTCTTGATCTTAAATAAGAATTTTTAAAAATGGTTTAATTTTAGTTTTATTATTCAAAGCATTTGCATGCAAATTATTCCCATAAATCCCCAAATGTGTTGTAGTTATTGAACAGTGATTCGGACATTCTCAAAATGGGAATATGGTAGTTCATATGCCGTACCAGTGTTTTTGTCTTTTTTTGTTTAGTGCAAATATATTGGAATTAGGCAGAGGGTTCTCCAAACCCGCCTATTCACATAGTTCATACCCACCATAGACTCCGGTCAGTCAAAATGACTATTTTGAACTGTAGGCATTAATCAGTGATTCTGCCAATGACTGAGAGATAGAATCTAGGTCAGGGGAAGCCCCATGACCCCAAGATTCTTTTCCCTTACGTCACGAACCATGTGACCGAGGCCATATGGCAGCGCCATAGACGGCTGTACAATCACTCTGGTTCCTTTCTCTCCACCTCGAGGACTTAGACCAATGCTACAGAAAGAGTGGGGTGGTTGGGGGGACCCAGAGTCTATGGTGGGTATGAACTATGTGAATAGGCGGGTTCGGAGAACCCTTCGCCTAAATTCACTAAGTTCAATTACCCACCATAGACTCCGGTCAGTCAAAATGATATTTTGAACTGTAGGTCAGACGCCGATAGGTGGCGGGTTTTCAGAGCAAACAGAAAAATGATGAAAGTCTCTTCCCAGTCGGGGATGAAACACTCTACAATAATCACTCAACACCTTAGTTAAGACCCAAAAAAGGTGGTGTCTTACCTTGCCTGTGCTGTCCCCGAAGCAAGAAGCCAAAATGCTGCTACGGTGACAGGGTTTAGTGTGCCCGAGAAAGGTAGACCCCAACCCAATTCTGGGGGTGGTAGGCTTTCGAAGTAAAGACCGAAACAGTTCTGCATGAGGGCATAGGCCGAAAAGCGGGACCTGGGAGCTTCCAGGGAGTGCTGATGGTAGAGAAATCTGTCCGCAAAAAATGCCGAGACTGACTTATTGCCTATGCGCAGGGACCCTTGTGGTCGTTCGGGCTGGGTCAGCAAACCAAGTCTGACCCGCTACGACATGACCCTACCTAAAGAGACCCTCCTCAATGGATTCGGTGTCTCTTAGGTGGTAGTTGATAAAGACGTTCTCCAGAAGCCTGCCCTCCGTGTGTGCTCGAGGGGGAGCACCAGACGCTAGCACTAGTGAGTTAGCAATCACACAGACCTCATGGGCTCGTACTTGGTGTCTCTGCAAGCTCTGTGTCGAGGAAGTTAAAGTATTATAGACCACTAATACAGTTGCAGTAAACCACCTGGTTATAAATGTTGGGGAGGCCGGCCTATCTTGCCTGCCTATTTTCCACGTCAAAAATTTGAGTGGTGCTGATCGGAGGGGCTCAGAGGGTGGAAGATGTCCAGTCTGTGTCACTGAGGTGGGGGGACGTACCCCCTTACTCAGCTTGCCGGCGAAAACACGCGCGTCTAAGGCCGCGTCTCGTTGCACAGTAGTGGCCCGGCCAAGAGAGGCAGGTGACACTAGGTGATGTCGCACGTAGATGTGCAGTGGCCCACCAGTAAATGTGTCACCTGGTCCAGGAGGCTGGTGCATTCTGCCTCCAAGGTCTCAGAGTCCTGTGCGTGCACAATAATGCGCTCAAGCAACTCTGCCCTCAGGGCGTGATGGATCGTCTCAGATTGAGCTGGCGAGAACGCCCATGGAACGCGGCTGTCCCCCTTTACCCGGTTTGCCAAACGGAAATTCGTGGTACTGGGGTCTGGGGAAGGAGCCTTGGGATCCGGTTGGGCATATTTTGGTCTCATCCCACACTTTGAGGTCTGATCCT